TTCAAGACACAGCAAGAAAATCCGGCCTCCTTTCAAGTTAGGGCTTCTCGCTGTATATTCCACTTGAGGCAGCAAACTGGGGGTCCCTCCAACATTCCTATTGTGGAGAGAAGGCTCCCCTTGAGGTGCTTCTGGAAAGTTGGCATACGTCTTGAGCCTAAGCCAGGGAATCAGCTCTCATCTCGAGACGATTTGGGGTACACGGAGCATTCCTCGAGTTGCTGGGCTGAAGATGGTGTTCCTCTAGACTTGGGACAGTGTTCTCAGGGCATCTCTGGAGTTGCCTGAAGGAAGTCAAGCCACTGGTCGTGTTTAATGTGGAACGGGGGATGGCTCTGGAGTCAATGCAGGGGAATCGGGCATTATCTCGAGTTGATTTGGGGCACATGGTGCTGTTTGCGTTGATGGGGTGACCTCAGGATCCGTCTAGACATGTGACAGTGTTCCCTGGTGACTGTCTCGAGATCCATTAAGCAAGTCGAAGCTTCTGACTTGTTTGATGGGGATCTCGGAATTGCTCTGCATGCACTGCAGGAGAATCGGGCCTCATCTCGCCTCTAGGGGAAAGTCTCATGGTTTTTCTCGACTTGCGGCGGGGACCTGGGGTATGTACTCGTTTTACGGCGGGGATGGCCCTTCAAAACTCGTGTTTATTCAGTGATGTCAGGACTCCTGTCCAGTAACGAGGAACAGCTCAGGAATCTCTTCGAGGCTTGGCAGGGCACAAGGGACGCTTCTCGAGGTGAGGCCGGGCACCCAAGGAACCTTTCCAATAGCCACAGGGATTTTGGGATTCCTATCAATATTTTAGAGGAGTCAGGCATCATCACCTTTTGAAGCAGTGAACTCCGCGTGCCTCTCTAGGTGACAACGGGATGTGAGGCATTCCGTCAAAATGAGGCAGGGAACTATAGCTTTCTCTAAGGTCTCCACAGGGGATTCAGACATCCCTTCATTCTGTGAGATGAAAGACGAGCCTGTATTCAAGCCACTGCAATGAAATCCGGCCTCCTTTCAAGTTAGGGTTTCTCGCTGTATATTCCACTTGAGGCAGCAAACTCGGGGTCCCTCGAACATACCTATTGCTGAGAGAAGCCTCCTCTTGAGGTGCTTCTGGAAAGTTGGCATACGTCTTGAGCCTAAGCCAGGGATTCAGCTCTCATCTCGAGACGATTTGTGGTACACGGAGCATTCCTCGAGTTGCTGTGCTGAAGTTGGTGTTCCTCTAGTCTTGGGACAGTGTTCTCGGGGCATCTCTCGAGTTGCCTGAAGGAAGTCAAGCCACTGGTGGTGCTTATTGGGGTACGGGGGATGGCTCTGGAGTCAATGCATGGGAATCGGGCCTCAACGCGAGTTGATGTGGGGTACTTGGAGCTGCTTTGCGTTGCTGGGGTGATGTCAGGGTCTGTCTAGACTTGTGACAGTGTTCCTGGGGACTCTCTCGAGATCCATTAAGCAATTCGAAGCTGCTGACTTGCTTGATTGGGATCACGGGAATGCTCTGCATGGACTGCAGGGAATCAGGCCTCATATCACATCTAGGGGAAGTCTCATGGTTTTTCTCGAGTTGCGGCGGGAACTGGGGTATGTTCTCGAGTTATGGCGGGGATGGCCCTTCAAAACACGTGTTTATTCAGTGACGTCAGGACTCCTGTCTAGTAACGAGGGACAGCTCTGGAATCTCTTCGAGGCTTGGCAGTGCACAAGGGACGCTTCTCGAGGTGAGGCAGGGCAGCCAAGGAACCTTTCCAATAGCCACAGGGATTTTGGGATTCCTATCAATATTTTAGAGGAGTCAGGATTCGTCACCTTTTGAAGCAGTGAACTCCGCGTGCCTCTCTTGGTGACAACGGGATGTGAGGCATTCCGTCAAAATGAGGCAGGGACCTATAGCTTTCTCTAAGGTCTCCACAGGGGATTCAGACGTCCCTTCATTCTGTGAGATGAAAGACGAGCCTGTATATAAGCCACTGCAAGGAAATCCGGTCTCCTTTCAAGTTAGGGCTTCTCGCTGTATATTCCACTTGAGGAAGCAACCTCGGGGTCCCTCCAACATACCTATTGCTGAGAGAAGCCTCCTCTTGAGGTGCTTCTGGAAAGTTGGCATACGTCTTGAGCCTAAGCCAGGGATTCAGCTCTCATCTCGAAACGATTTGTGGTACACGGAGCATTCCTCGAGTTGCTGTGCTGAAGTTGGTGTTCCTCTAGTCTTGGGAGAGTGTTTGCGGGGCATCTCTGGAGTTGCCTGAAGGAAGTCTAGCCAGTTGTCTTGTTTAATGGGGAACTGGGGATGGCTCTGGAGTCAATGCAGGGGAAACGGGCCACATCTCGTGTTGATTTGGGGCACATGGAGCTGCTTTGCGTTGCTGGGGTGACCTCAGGGTCCGTCTAGACTTGTGACAGTGTTCTTGGGGACTGTCTCGAGATCCATTAAGCAAGTCGAAGCTCCTGACTTGTTTGATGGGGATCACGGGAATACTCTGTATGCACTGCAGGGAATCAGGACTCATCTCGCATCTAGGGGGAAGTCTCACGGTTTCTCTCAAGTTGCGCGGGGGACCTGGGGTATGTTCTCGAGTTACGGCGGGGATGGCCCCTCAAAACCCGTGTTTATTCAGTGCCGTCAGGACTCCTGTCTAGTAACGAGGGACACCTCAGGAATCTCTTCGAGGCTTGGCAGGTCAAAATGTTTGCTTCTCGAGGTGAGGCAGGGCAACCAATGTCCCTTTCCAGTAGCCACAGTGATTTTGGGATTCTTATCAATGATCAGGAGGGGTCAGGCATCGTCACATTTGAAGCAGTGAACTCCGTGTGCCTCCCGAGGTGTCAACGGGATGTGAGGCAATCCGTCAAAATGAGGCAGGGACCTAGGGCTTTCGCTAAGGTCTCCACAGGGGATTCAGACAATCCTTCCGGTTGTGAGATGAAAGACGAGCCTGTATTCAAGACACTGCAAGGAAACCCGGCCTCCTTTCAAGTTAGGGCTTCTCGTTGCATATTCCACTTGAGGCAGCAAACTGGGGGTCCCTCCAACATAATTATTGCTGAGAGAAGCCTCCCCTTGAGGTGCTTCTGGAATGTTGGCATACGTCTTGAGCATAAGCCAGGGAATCAGCTCTCATCTCGAGACGATTTGGGGTACACGGAGCATTCCTCGAGTTGCTGTGCTGAAGATGGTGTTCCTCTAGACTTGGGACAGTGTTCTCAGGGCATCTCTGGAGTTGTCTGAAGGAAATCAAGCGACTGGTGGTGTTTAATCTGGAACGGGGGATGGCTCTGGAGTCAATGCAGGGGAATCGGGCATTATCTCGAGTTGATGTGGGGCACATGGTGCTGCTTTGCGTTGATGGGGTGACCTCAGGATCCATCTAGACATGTGATAGTATTCTTGGGGACTGTCTCTAGATCCATTAAGCAAGTCGAAGGTCCTGACTTGTTTGATGGGGATCATGGAATTGCTCTGCATGCACTGCAGGAGAATCGGGCCTCATCTCGCCACTAGGGGAAAGTCTCATGGTTTTTCTCGACTTGCGGCGGGGACCTGGGGTATGTACTCGGGTTATGGCGGGGATGGCCCTTAAAAACTCGTGTTTTTTCAGTGACGTCAGGACTCCTGTCCAGTAACGAGGGACAGCTCAGGAATCTCTTCGAGGCTTGGCAGGGCAAAAGGGATGCTTCTCGAGGTGAGGCAGGGCACCCAAGAACCCTGTCCTGTAGCTACAGTGATTTTGGGATTCCTATCAATGTTCAGGAGGAGTCAGGCATCGTCAGCTTTTGAAGCAGTGAACTCCGCATGACTCTCGAGGTGTCAACGGGATGTGAGGCATTCCGTCAAAATGAGGCAGGGACCTAGGGCTTTCTCTAAGGTCTCCACAGGGGATTCAGACATCTCTTCCTGCTGTGAGATGAAAGACGAGCCTGTATTCAAGACACTGCTAGGAAACCGGCCTCCATTCTAGTTAGTGCTTCTCGCTGTATATTCCATTTGAGGCAGGAAACTCGGGTTCCCTCCCACATACCTATTGCTGAGAGAAGCCTCCTCTTGAGGTGCTTCTGGAAAGTTGGCATACGTCTTGAGCCTAAGCCAGGGAATCAGCTCTCAACTCGAGAAGATTTGGCATACAGGAAGCAATCCTCGAGTTGCTGTGCTAAAGGAGGTTTTCCTCTAGACTTGGGACAGTGTTCTCGGGGCATCTCTGGAGTTGTCTGAAGGAGGTCAAGCCACTGGTGGTGTTTAATGCGGAACGGCAGATGCCTCTGGAGTCAATGCAGGGGAATCGGACCTCATCTCAAGTTGATTTGGGGCACATGGAGCTGCTTTGCGTTGCTTGGGATACCTAGGGTCCGTCTAGACATGTGACAGTGTTCTTGGGGAATGTCTCGAGATCCATTAAGCAAGTCGAAGCTCCTGACTTGTTTGATGGGGATCACGGAATTGCTCTGCATGCACTGCAGGAGAATCGGGCCTCATCTCGCCTCTAGGCGGAAGTCTCATGGTTTTTCTCGAGTTGCGGCGGGGACCTGGGGTATGTACTCGAGTTACGGCGGCGATGGCCCTTCAAAACACTTGTTTATTCAGTGACGTCAGGACTCCTGTCCAGTAACGAGGGACAGCTCAAGAATCTCTTCGAGGCTTGCCGGGGCACAAGGGACGCTTCTCGAGATGAGGCAGGGCACCCAAGGAACCTTTCCAATAGCCACAGGGATTTTGGGATTCCTATCAATATTCAAGAGGAGTCAGGCATCGTCACCTTTTGAAGCAGTGAACTCCGCGTGTCTCTCGTGGTGTCAACGGGATGTGAGGCATTCCGTCAAAATGAGGCAGGGACATAGGGCTTTCTCTAAGGTCTCCACAGGGGATTCAGACATCCCTTCCGGTTGTGAGATGAAAGACGAGCCTGTATACAAGACACTGCAAGGAAATCCGGCCTCCATTCAAGTTAGGGCTTCTCGCTGTATATTCCACTTGAGGCAGCAAACTCGGGGTCCCACGACCATACCTATTGCTGAGAGAAGCCTCCTCTTGAGGTGCTTCTGGAAAGTTGGCATACGTCTTGAGCCTAAGCCAGGGAATCAGCTCTCATCTCGAGACGATTTGTGGTACACGGGGCATTCCTCGAGTTGCTGTGCTGAAGTTGGTGTTCCTCTAGTCTTGGGACAGTGTTCTCGGGGCATCTCTGGAGGTGTCTGAAGGAAGACAAGCCAGTGGTCTTGTTTAATGGGGAACTGGGGATGGCTCTGGAGTCAATGCTTGGGAATCGGGCCTCATCTCGAGTTGATGTGGGGTACTTGCAGCTGCTTTGCATTGCTGGGGTGACCTCAGGGTCTGTCTAGACTTGTGACAGTGTTCCTGGGGACTTTCTCGAGTTCAATTAAGCAAGTCGAAGCTCCTGACTTGCTTGATAGGGATCACGGGAATGCTCTTCATGGACTGCAGGGAATCAGGCCTCATCTCGCCTCTAGGGGAAGTCTCATGGTTTTACTCGAGTTGAGGCGCGAACTGGGGTATGTTCTCGTGTTCCGGCGGGGATGGCCCTTCAAAACACGTGTTTATTCAGTGACGTCAGGACTCCTGTCTAGTAACGAGGGACACCTCAGGAATCTCTTCGAGGCTTGGCAGGGCAAAAGGGATGCTTCTCGAGGTCAGGCAGGGCACCAAAGAACCCTGTCCTGTAGCTACAGTGATTTTGGGATTCCTATCAATGTTCAGGAGGAGTCAGGCATCGTCACATTTTGAAGCAGTGAACTCCGTGTGCCTCTCGAGGTGTCAACGGGATGTGAGACATTCCGTCAAAACGAGGCAGGGACCTAGGGCTTTCTCTAAGGTCTCCACAGGGGATTCAGACATCCCTTCCTGTTGTGAGATGAAAGACGAGCCTGTATTCAAGCCACTGCAAGGAAATCCGTCCTCCTTTCAAGTTAGGGCTTCTCGTGTATATTCCACTTGACGCAGCAATCTGGGGGTCCCTCCAACATACCTATTGCTGAGAGAAGGCTCCCCTTGAGGTGCTTCTGGAAAGTTGGCATACGTCTTGAGCCTAAGCCAGGGAATCAGCTCTCATCTCGAGACGATTTGGGGTACACGGAGCATTCCTCGAGTTGCTGTGCTGAAGATGGTGTTTCTCTAGACTTGGGACAGTGTTCTCAGGGCGTCTCTGGAGTTGCCTGAAGGAAGTCAAGCTACTGGTCGTGTTTAATGTGGAACGGGGGATGGCTCTGGAGTCAATGCAGGGGAATCGGGCATTATCTCGAGTTGATTTGGGGCACATGGTGCTGCTTTGCCTTGATGGGGTGACCTCAGGATCCGTCTAGACATGTGACAGTGTTCTTGGGGACTGTCTCGAGATCCATTAAGCAAGTCGAAGCTTCTGACTTGTTTGATGGGGATCACGGAATTGCTCTGCATGCACTGCAGGAGAATCGGGCCTCATCTCGCCTCTAGGGGAAAGTGTCATGGTTTTTCTCGACTTGCGGTGGGGACCTGGGGTATGTACTCGGGTTACGGCGGGGATGGCCTTCAAAACTCGTGTTTATTCAGTGACGTCAGAACTCCTGTCCAGTAACGATGGGCAGCTCAGGAATCTCATAGAGACTTGGCAGGGCACAAGGGACGCTTCTCCACTTGAGGCAGGGCACCCAAGGAAGGTTTCCAATAGCCACAGGGATTTTGGGATCCTATCAATATTTTAGAGGAGTCAGGCATCGTCACCTTTTGAAGCAGTGAACTCCGCGTGCCTCTGGAGGTGACAACGGGATGTGAGGCATCCCGTCAAAATGAGGTAGGGACCTATAGCTTTCTCTAAGGTCTCCACATGGGATTCAGACATCCCTTCATTCTGTGAGATGAAAGACGAGCCTGTATTCAAGCCACTGCAAGGAAATCCGGCCTTCTTTCAAGTTAGGGCTTCTCGCTGTATATTCCACTTGAGGCAGCAAACTCGGGGTCCCTCCAACATACCTATTGCTGAGAGAATCCTCCTCTTGAGGTGCTTCTGGAAAGTTGGCATACGTCTTGAGCCTAAGCCAGGGATTCAGCTCTCATCTCGAGACGATTTGTGGTACACGGACCATTCCTCGAGTTGCTGTGCTGAAGTTGGTGTTCCTCTAGTCTTGGGAGAGTGTTTGCGGGGCATCTCTGGAGTTGCCTGAAGGAAGTCTAGCCAGTTGTCTTGTTTAATGGGGAACTGGGGATGGCTCTGGAGTCAATGCAGGGGAATCGGGCCACATCTCGGGTTGATTTGGGGCACATGGAGCTGCTTTGCGTTGCTGGGGTGACCTCAGGGTCCGTCTAGACTTGTGACAGTGTTCTTGGGACTGTCTCGAGATCCATTAAGCAAGTCGAAGCTCCTGACTTGTTTGATGGGGATCACGGGAATACTCTGCATGCACTGCAGGGAATCAGGACTCATCTCACATCTAGGGGGAAGTCTCACGGTTTCTCTCAAGTTGCGTGGGGGACCTGGGGTATCTTCTCGAGTTACGGCGGGGATGGCCCCTCAAAACCCGTGTTTATTCAGTGCCGTCAGGACTCCTGTCTAGTAACGAGGGACACCTCAGGAATCTCTTCGAGGCTTGGCAGGTCAAAAGGTATGCTTCTCGAGGTGAGGCAGGACAACCAATGTCCCTTTCCAGTAGCCACAGTGATTTTGGGATTCCTATCAATATTCAAGACGAGCCAGGCATCATCACCTTTTGAAGCAGTGAACTCCGCGTGCCTCTCGAAGTGTCAACTGGATTTGAGGCATTCCGTCAAAATGATGCAGGGACCTAGAGCTTTCTCTAAGGTCTCCACAGGGGATTCAGACATCCCTTCATGCTGTGAGATGAAAGACGAGCCTATATCCAAGCCACTGCAAGGAAATCCGGCCTCCTTTCAAGTTAGGGCTTCTCGCTGTATATTCCACTTGAGGCAGCAAACTCGGGGTCCCTCTCAAATACCTATTGCTGAGAGAAGCCTCCTCTTGAGGTGCTTCTGGAAAGTTGGCATACGTCTTGAGCCTAAGCCATGGAATCAGCTCTCACCTCGAAACGATTTGGGGTACACGGAGCATTCCTCGAGTTGCTGTGCTGAAGTTCGTATTCCTCTAGACTTGGGACAGTGTTCTCGGGGCATCTCACGAGTTGCCTGAAGGAAGTCAAGCCACTGGTGGTGTTTAATGGGGTAGGGGGATGGCTCTGGAGTCAATGCATGGGAATCGGGCCTCAATGCGAGTTGATGTGGGGTACTTGGAGCTGCTTTGCGTTGCTGGGGTGATGTCAGTGTCTGTCTAGACTTGTGACAGTGTTCCTGGGGACTCTCTCGAGATCCATTAAGCAATTCGAAGCTGCTGACTTGCTTGATTGGGATCACGGGAATGCTCTGCATGGACTGCAGGGAATCAGGCCTCATCTCGCATCTAGGGGAAAGTCTCATGGTTTTTCTCGACTTGCGGCGGGGACCTGGGGTATGTACTCGGGTTACGGCGGGGATGGCCCTTAAAAACTCGTGTTTATTCAGTGACGTCAGGACTCCTGTCCAGTAACGAGGGACAGCTCAGGAATCTCTTCGAGGCTTGGCAGGGCAAAAGGGATGCTTCTCGAGGTGAGGCAGGGCACCCAGGAACCCTGTCCTGTAGCTACAGTGATTTTGGGATTCCTATCAATGTTCAGGAGGAGTCAGGCATCGTCAGCTTTTGAAGCAGTGAACTCCGCGTGACTCTCGAGGTGTCAACGGGATGTGAGGCATTCCGTCAAAATGAGGCAGGGACCTAGGGCTTTCTCTAAGGTCTCCACAGGGGATTCAGACATCTCTTCCTGCTGTGAGATGAAAGACGAGCCTGTATTCAAGACACTGCTAGGAAACCGGCCTCCATTCTAGTTAGTGCTTCTCGCTGTATATTCCATTTGAGGCAGCAAACTCGGGTTCCCTCCCACATACCTATTGCTGAGAGAAGCCTCCTCTTGAGGTGCTTCTGGAAAGTTGGCATACGTCTTGAGCCTAAGCCAGGGAATCAGCTCTCAACTCGAGAAGATTTGGCATACAGGAAGCATTCCTCGAGTTGCTGTGCTAAAGTAGGTGTTCCTCTAGACTTGGGACAGTGTTCTCGGGGCATCTCTGGAGTTGTCTGAAGGAGGTTAAGCCACTGGTGGTGTTTAATGCGGAACGGCAGATGGCTCTGGAGTCAATGCAGGGGAATCGGACCTCATCTCAAGTTGATTTGGGGCACATGGAGCTGCTTTGCGTTGCTGAGGATACCTCAGGGTCCGTCTAGACATGTGACAGTGTTCTTGGGGAATGTCTCGAGATCCATTAAGCAAGTCGAAGCTCCTGACTTGTTTGATGGGGATCACGGAATTGCTCTGCATGCACTGCAGGAGAATCAGGCCTCATCTCGCCTCTAGGGGAAGTCTCATGCTTTTACTCGAGTTGCGGCGGGACTTGGGGTATGTTTTCGAGTTATGGCGGGGATGGCCCTTCAAAACACGTGTTTATTCAGTGACGTAAGTTCTCCTGTCTAGTAACGAGGGACACATCAGGAATCTCTTCGAGGCTTGGCAGGGCAAAAGGGATGCTTCTCGAGGTGAGGCAGGGCACACAAGAACCCTTTCCAGTAGCCACAGTGATTTTGGGATTCCTATCAATGTTCAGGAGGAGACAGGCATCGTCACATTTTGAAGCAGTGAACTCCGCTTGCCTCTCGAGGTGACAACGGGATGTGAGGCATTCCGTCAAAATGAGGCAGGGACCTAGGGCTTTCTCTAAGGTCTCCACAGGGGATTCAGACATTCCTTCCGGTTGTGAGATGAAAGACGAGCCTGTATTCAAGACACAGCAAGGAAATCCGGCCTCCTTTGAAGTTAGGGCTTCTCGCTGTATATTCCACTTGAGGCAGCAAACTCGGGGTCCCTCCAACATTCCTATTGCTGAGAGAAGGCTCCCCTTGAGGTGCTTCTGGAAAGTTGGCATAAGTCTTGAGCCTAAGCCAGGGAATCAGCTCTCATCTCGAGACGATTTGGGGTACACGGAGCATTCCTCGAGTTGCTGTGCTGAAGATGGTGTTCCTCTAGACTTGGGACAGTGTTCTCAGGGCGTCTCTGGAGTTGCCTGAAGGAAGTCAAGCCACTGGTCGTGTTTAATGTGGAACGGGGGATGGCTCTGGAGTCAATGCAGGGGAATCGGGTATTATCTCGAGTTGATTTGGGGCACATGGTGCTGCTTTGCGTTGATGGGGTGACCTCAGGATCCGTCTAGACATGTGACAGTGTTCCCTGGTGACTGTCTCGAGATCCATTAAGCAAGTCGAAGCTTCTGACTTGTTTGATGGGGATCACGGAATTGCTCTGCATGCACTGCAGGAGAATCGGGCCTCATCTCGCCTCTAGGGGAAAGTCTCATGGTTTTTCTCGACTTGCGGCGGGGACCTGGGGTATGTACTCGGGTTACGGCGCGGATGGGCCTTCAAAACTCGTGTTTATTCAGTGACGTCAGGACTCCTGTCCAGTAACGAGGGACAGCTCAGGAATCTCTTCGAGGCTTGGCAGGCACAAGGGACGCTTCTCGAGGTGAGGCAGGGCACCCAAGGAACCTTTCCAATAGCCACAGGGATTTTGGGATTCCTATCAATATTTTAGAGGAGTCAGGAATCGTCACCTTTTGAAGCAGTGAACTCTGCGTGCCTCTCTAGGTGACAACGGGATGTGAGGCATTCCGTCAAAATGAGGCAGGGACCTATAGCTTTCTCTAAGGTCTCCACAGGAGATTCAGTCATCCCTTCATTCTGTGAGATGAAAGACGAGCCTGTATTCAAGCCATTGCAAGGAAATCCAGCCTCCTTTCAAGTTAGGGCTTCTCGCTTTATATTCCACTTGAGGCAGCAAACTCGGGGTCCCTCCAACATACCTATTGCTGAGAGAAGCCTCCTCTTGAGGTGCTTCTGGAAAGTTGGCATACGTCTTGAGCCTAAGCCAGGGATTCAGCTCTCATCTCGAGACGATTTGTGGTACACGGAGCATTCCTCGAGTTGCTGTGCTGAAGTTGGTGTTCCTCTAGTCTAGGGAG